AAAAAAAAAAAAAAGAATGCATGGTTTATTACAGCCAGCTAGATGTCTTAAGGAAAAAAGTTCTTGCTTATACATTTACATGCCAAGTGGAACTGCACTCAACTGCAGTGGAATTCAGGACAAGTAAGATGAGCGAGGAGGTTTGCTACGATACCCTGTGAGGCAGGCAGCCACAGGGTGCCAGGCTGCGTGTGTCTGTCCCACAGAGCAGGCACTGTGTGTCCTCAGTGAGCAGCCTCCCCCGATCTCCTGTAACAGCTGCTATAGCTGAAAGGCCTTCACCAGCTACAGCAACTGTGTGACGAGATTCTCCCATAGAAAATGCCAAGATGGAAACAAAAAAAGGCAAGCCCCAAAGAAAGGTTTTCTCAGCAACCTTGACCCTAGGGTATGTGAGAACAAGACAGGACAGTATCACTGCTCACCACCTTCTCTGCAGCTGGCAGGTACCAGTGTCAGAAAATTCTCTCTCCTGGCTGAGAGCACCAGCCCCACACAGACCCACCTCCACACGGCCCATGCTGGCTGGAGGGGCAGGCTCAGGAACCCCGGCACCTCGACCCCCAAGTATCCCTGACAACTGGCTCTTGTTTCCTCACAACCCCTCCTCCCACCCCACAGTCCCGACTCAGGTGTCACTGTAGGGCAGTATTTCCTGGTCCTTCCCAAATAAGGTCATCAGGAGGGGCCATCCCACCTTTTATTCAGCAGGCTGCTAGCACCAGCCCTCCCTGCGGCCTTGCCAAGAGGCGAGTGCTGAAACGGTGTGTCTTCCGGGCTCGGGCTGACTACAACATCACCAGGCTTCTTCTCCTTCAGGGAAAAGGGTTTCTTATTGGGGCCTGAGGACGTAGGAGGCAGAAAAGAGTTTACGCAATCACAGATCACCTGGTACTGGACTTTTTCACTTTGTTTTTGAGAAAGTAATATTCTTTTCATTGTCACAGGAGGTTAGAGAAGAGCCCAAGGAAGTAACTGTGAGATGCAAATCTGAGCAGAGCCAGCCTCCCCCATTGGCTGGGGAAAGGGCCTACACTCAAAGGGTTTGTACAGAGCAAGAGAAACCGAAGAGAGGACCACGACACACACAGTGGCTCATGCCTGTAATCCCAGATCAGCCTGGGCAACGTACTGAGATCTTGTCTCTATTAAATAAATAAATAAAAATAATTTTCTAAAAACTGAGAATTGAAAACTCACTTTTCTTCCTGTGCCAAAAGATCGCCATGTCTTTATGCAAACTTTTCCCCTTCTTTCTAGCCAGGGCTGCAGATGCCTAGAAAACAACCGCCAAGTGTGAGTACATCAGGAGAGTTAAGGGAATGGGACTGAAACTCAGATGCAGTGTGAGTACATCAGGAGAGTCAAGGAAATGGGACTGAAACCTCAAACGCAGTAAGCAGAACATCCATCCAAAGGCACCAGGAGCCCCTGTCCTCTGTACACCAGTAAAGTGTGAGTACATCAGGAGAGCCAAGGAAAGGGGATTGAAACCTCAAACGCAGTAAGCAGAACATCCATCCAAAGGCACCAGGAGCCCCTGTCCTCTGTACACCAGTAAAGTGTGAGTACATCAGGAGAGTCAAGGAAATGGGACTAAAACCTCAAATGCAGTAAGCAGAACATCCATCCAAAGGCACCAGGAGCCCCTGTCCTCTGTACATCATTGATACCTCCATCCCCCATCTGCTGCCTGCAGAGCCTTTGGCTGTGGCCGCAGCAGTCCATCTCCCTTACCTGTCTCACAAGCATCTATTTGTTCTGCTCTTTTAAAATTAACAACTTTGCCTCATAGAACTCACAAACTTGGCCTCTTTGGCATCTGGTGAGATGATTCTCACCAGCTAATTACATATACAGAAACAAAGTTTTCCAAGTCACAATGAAGCATAAAAGGGAGCTGCAGAATAACACACGAGATACCATTTATCACAGAAAACACATAAAACCAACCACATCTTAGTCTCCTTGTAGATACTCATAAAACGTCTAGAAAAACACACACCACACTAGGTAACTGGACTGCTCTTGGTTAACAGGAGAAATGAGGGTGTTCAGCTTTGTCTGTACCAATGAATTGTTTATAAAGGCAATGTATTTACATATTGGGTGATAAAATATTTAATGTTCAGCTGGGAAAATGAGCACATTGCAATAAGCAAAAAATCACTTTAAAAACAAATGAGGGGGCTAGACATGGTGGCTCATGCCTGTAATCCCAGCACTTTGGGAGGTCAAGATGCATGGACCACTGAGGCCAGGAGTTCGAGACTAGCCTGACCAACATGGTGAAATCTCGTCTCGACTAAAAGTACAAAAATTAGCCAGGTGTGGTGGTGCACACACAATCCCAGCTACTTGGGAGGCTGAGGCAGGAACAATCACTTGATCCCAGGAGGCAGAGGTTGCAGTGAGCCAAGATCATGCCACTGCACTCCAGCCTGGGCAACAGAGCAAGACTCTTGTCTCAAAAAAAGAAACAAAAGCAACAACAAAAAAGTACTATGTAGTTAGAGCTACTCCAAAGCCTTTCAAAAGAATTTCACTTTACTATGTAGTTAGAGCTACTCCAAAGCCTTTCGGAAGAATTTCACTTTACTATGTAGTTAGAGCTACTCCAAAGCCTTTCAGAAAAATTTCACTTCATGGGAACAACTCTCCCAGCATTTCCAGAGCACTGTATTCTGTAGGGACCTGGAATACTCCAAGTTATGAAATAAATAGTGCTATCCCAGCCTATCTTAAGAATAAGATATTTGGCTGGGCATGGTGGTTCACGCCTGTAATCCCAGCACTTCGGGAGGCCAAGGTGGGTGGATCTCAAGGTCAGGTGTTCAAGACTAGCCTAATCAATATAGTGAAACACTGTCTCTACTACAAATAAATTAGCCAGGCATGGTGGCAGGTGCCTGTAATCCCAGCTACTCAGGAGGCTGAGGCAGGAAAATCACTTGAACCTGGGAGGTGGAGGTTGCCGTGAGCCAGGATCTTGCCACTGCACTCCAGCCTGGGCAACAGTGTGAGACCCTGCGTCAAAAAACGAAGAATAAGGTATTTGAGGCTGGGTGCAGTGGCTCACACCTGTAATCCCAGCACTTTGGGAGGCCAAGGTGGGCAGATCACCTAAGGTCAGAGTCTGAGACTAGCCTGACCAACACAGAGAAACCCCATTTCTATTAAAAAAAAAAAAAAAAAAATACAAAACTAGCAGGACATGGCGGTTCATGCCTGTAATCACAGCTACTTGGGAGGCTGAGGCAGGAGAATTGCTCGAACCTGGGAGGCAGTGGTTTCAGTTAGCCAAGATTGTGCCATTACACTCCAGCCTGGGCAACCATAGCGAAACTCCGTCTCAAAAAAAAAAAAAGAATAAGATATTTGAGTAATTTCCCTATATTAAATAACTGATAGACCATGATGGCCCCCCCCAAAAAAAACAAGTTTTACAGTGACGTGGTTCAAATCTAGGGTAACAAACGGCAATACGGAAATACTCACATGATCAAAGAAATGTACTACTGCGAACTTTTTGCTGCGCCTGGTAAAGATGCGCTGCACTTTAGCAATTTTGCCAAAATGGTTCTCCAGGATGGTTCTGTTGTTCAGGTAGTCAGGGATGTTCTTGCACTGGATCGCTGTGACTTCAGAGGGAGACAAGCCCCCAAGACTATCTGTGCTCTCGCTTCTTTTACTCTGACGTACAGGAGTTCCTCTTAAAGAATCTAGGGGTTCAGAGAACAGACACTTAAACCATCAGATGTAACGCTAACAACAGGAGGCACCAACTGTGTAAAAGTAAAGGAAATGTTCACAAGTATAAGACCTGCTCCCTATGACATGTAGAATCCCTAATGTGTTTTTTTTGTTTTGTTTTGTTTTGTTTTGGGACAAAGTCTTGCCCTGTTGCCCAGGCTGGAGTGCAGTGGTGCGATCTTGGCTCACTGCAACCTTTGCCTCCTGGGTTCAAGTGATTCTCCCTGGCTCAGCCTCCAGAGTAGCTGGGATTACAGGTGCCCACCACCACACCCGGCTAATTTTGGTATTTTTAGTAGAGATGGGGTTCCACCATGTTGGCCAGGCTGGTCTCGAACTCTTGACCTTGTGATCCACCCACCTCAGCCTCCCAAGGTGATGAGATTATAAGCGTGAGCCACTGCGCCCAGCCTAGAATCCCTAATGTTTATAGGAGATTTATCTGAAAAATCAAGCTAACACCCAAAGAAACTTATTGGGAAGCTGCCAGCAGGATTTACACTATGTTCCACATTTTCAGAACTCACCTTCTTTTTTCTCTCTACTTTCAGTTTCTTCCTCTTTATTCAAACCTGGAATCCGGGAAGGTGCCAGGAGAGACTGACTCCCTCCTGGGGTAGCCATGTGGTCACTTTCTCCAGACTCAACAAAGCCAATTTCCTTTTTGGACTCCTTGTTGCCCAGGCGACCTACTTCTTTATTGCTTTTGAAAACATCCTGTATCGTCCGACCAAACAAAGTACCTCCCCGGGGTCTATTCAGGCGGACAGGTCGTTTATCTGGAGGATGATCCCCCCTGGACAGAGGATCAGAATCTTCTGTTTCATGGCCATGTCTCCTTGGGGAACGATCTTGGTCCTCCTTCCTTTTCAGGCCTTTCATTAGGCTGGGAGGTGGTTCCACCTGGGAAACAGCTTCTTCACACCCCTGCCTGACACCTGCTTTGCTGACCTGGAAGGGTTCACCCAAAACTGCAGATGACGACACAGGGAAGCTACTGAAGCTGTTATTAGAACTTCCAAATACTGACTTAGGTCCTCTCTTCTCTTCTTCTACATTTTGATTTGACAAAGCAGGGGTAAAAGCAGATAATGAATTATTACTACTAACTGGTTTTGAAAAAGTAAAATCTGAATTGGTAGCTGAACTACTTGTTACTTGAGGAAAAGAGAAAGGCGTCAGGCCTCCAGCTGCACTACTAATTGGGTGGGAAAATGTGAAAAACCCAGAAGCAATTTGGCTCTGGGTTTTCTCTGGCTCAGCATCAGCCCCCAATATTGGTTTAAACATTGCGTTTTCCAGAGGTTTAAAGCCGAATTCTGTTTTCCCAAAACCAGAACTCACTATTTCTCCAGCTTCTTGTCCAAAAGTAGAAGTGCTTGGGAAAGCCCCAACACTGGTGGGTGATTTAAAACTAAATCCTGGGTTTCCCAGCACAGATGAAGTTGAAGGCCCAGAGGTAGCTACAAAGGTGGATGTGTGGTCAAGTCCAGAAAAGAGTCCAACAGTTGAGGTTTGGGTGAACCCTAATGTTTGCACTGAAGAGGAATGACTTACTCCAGGAGACGCTGGAAAGCTGGATACCTGTGAAAATCCTGAGCTCTTCCCACATAAGGTACTGTTTTGTCCAAAAAGAGGTTGACCAAATCGAAACGGCGCCTTGGATGGGAATGTTGTTATGGAACTACTAGAAGATGCTGAAAAAGCGCTAGGCTGCTGCCCACTGAAAGGATTAGTTGGATTCATCTTCTGATCCAATTATCAGAAGATAATAAGTATTACGTGTACAAAATTAATTGGCTTTCTTGAACAGCCTCCCCTTCGTCTTCATAACAAGCTGAAAGACAAAAATTCAGATCATCACAGCTACGTTCTGCTACAAAATTAAGAAAGGAATTTCTGAACAATCACATAAGGATAACTATTTCAAAGGCAGACAAAGGGCTATTATTTTCTGAGAGCCACAGGGTTCTTTTGTTAGAGAATGGCGTAGAGAGCGGTCCAAATAATTACTTTGTTACAGAGATTTAAATCGTGATCCTTTAAGATTAAAAAAAAAAAAAAAAAGCCGAATCACTGCATTGGTAAACTCATGAAAAACCTCCAGTGGCAATAAGAAAATGAATGCTGTTCCTCCTTACGACTTAGAGATGAGTTTCTCCCGACCGCCTCCACTGTCTACAGCCCGAGAACTGGAATGTAACGCAGTCAGAACGTTAGCTTCGGGATCTCCGCCCACCTGGCTTCCCTCGGGGCGGCCGGGGCGCTGAGCCCTTCCTCAGGCATTCCTTTACCGCGCCCTGGCGACCGCCGAGCTGGCTGGAAGGTGAGGGCGCTGCCGCGGAGCTGCGGCCTCTCGGCGGGGACGGCGGGCCTGGGAAGCCTCATCTTCCGCCCAGCACAGCCCGAAAAGGCGGAGGCCGCAGTTCCGCCGCCGCCGCGCTCCCTGAGCGATGACGGGGAAGGAAGCCGCGTCTCAGGCGCCGGCCCAACCCCACGCTCACCGTCTCGCCGCTGGACCCCGGGGCCCGCGCAGCTCCCGGACCCCTGGAAAAGACGAGAGGCGCACGCCCCGCCTGCGGCCGCGACACCACCCTTGCGCACTGCGGGCGGAAAACGCGGCGGACCGAAAACGCGGCGGACCGACTTCCGGCTCGCACAGCACCACCGAGTTCCGCCGCGATCGGGTTCCGCTCTCGGCACCCTGCTAGGCGGCGGCGCTTCCGGTGGGGGGTTGCGCCTCGTCTCGCGCCCTTTGCCGGGTCTTGAGCCCGGTACGTGCGGGCGGGTTCCTAGTCTCCCAAACGGGAGCGTCGCACTCATCCGCGTGGGTCCGCAGGCGCCCCAGACCCCAGAGGACGCCGCCCTGTCCCTCCCCATTCCGTCCGCTCCCCTCCCCTCCCCTACCCGCCTCGCCGCGTTCGCGCGCCCCGCCCACCTGCCCCCTGCCTCGGGGAACGGCTCCCCCACCGCGAGCCCTTCGGGCCTGACTCCGCGTCTTCCTCCCGTGGCCCCTCATTTTTGTATTCTCCTGTGGTCAGTGTAAATTCCCGTAAGATTTTCAGTCACTTCCGCCAAATGAAGGGACTTGATTGCGTGTGCATGAGTTTTGTACAGAATGTGCCGTCACTGTCTTGTACTGATTGGTCTTCTCTGACACTTTAACCCCAGGTTCCGTTGGAAACATGTTTTAAGGGCCGGTTATTCTTCCTGAAATGAGCTTGGTGATTAGAAATCTGCAGCGAGTCATCCCCATCAGGAGAGCGCCACTTCGAAGTAAGATCGAGATAGTACGGAGGATTTTAGGAGTGCAGGAATTTGACCTGGGGATCATCTGTGTTGACAACAAGAATATTCAGCACATTAATAGAATCTACAGAGATAGAAATGTCCCAACCGACGTGCTTTCTTTTCCATTTCATGAGGTAAAAGAAGAAAAAGTGTTCTTGTCTAGCCTACCTATGCGGAGTATATTTCCTGTATTTTTTTTTTTTAAATGAGAGGGAGTCTTGTTCTGTCACCCAGGCTGGGGTGCAGTGGTGCCATCTCGGCTCACTGCAATCTCCCCTGCCTGGGTTCACGCAATTCTCCTGCCTCAGCCTCTGTAGTAACTGGGACTACAGCCTCGAGCCACCACATCCGGCTAATTTGTTGTTGTTGTTGTTTTGTATGTTTAGTAGAGGCAGGGGTTTCACCATGTTGGCCAAGCTACTCTTGAATTCCTGATCTGGCCTTCCCAAAGTGTTGGGATTACAGGTGTGAGCCATAGCGCCCAGCCTAAATTTCGTGTATTAATTATATTACAGGCTAGGCTCGGTGGCACATATAAGTGTATATATTACAGACAGGATTTTTCATTTTAATTTTGGAAATTTTCAAATAGACACGAAAGTAGAGAGAACAGTATGTTCAGCCTCTATTGATCGATGCCTGTTACCCAAAGGCCACAATTACCCTGGTAAGCCCGCAGGAAAAAGAAAAGTGACTGCCAGGCGTGGTGGCTCACACCTGTAATCCTAGCACTTTTGGAGGCCAAGGTGGGTGGATGACCTGAGAGCAGGAGTTTAAGACCAGCCTGGCCAACATGGTGAAACCCTGTCTCTACTAAAAATACAAAAAAACTAGTGGTGGCAGGCACCTGTAATCCCAGCTACTTGGGAGGCTGAGGCAAGAGAATCGATTAAACCCCAGAGACGGAGGTTGCAGTGATCCAAGATTACACCATTGCATTACAGCCTGGGCAACAAGAGTGAAACTCTGTCTCAGAAAAAAAAAAAAAAGAAAAAGAAAGGTGACTAGTGTCCACCCACTTCCCCTCCTAACGCTCTCAGTTAATTAAAAGAAAGAAGCAAAGTGTTTCTGCAGTATTTTTGCAATTTTAAGTGGGATTCGTTAATGAATATGTGCAAATTGGAAAAATTAAAACAACACTGAAAATAAAAGAATAGACTGGAGTAAATATTTCCAACAAACTCAATGTGATAGCCGTCAGGTTATTCTCTACATTCTGTGCATGACTCATTCAAGGCTTCCCATATTGGAGCAGCACAAATTGGAGCAACCCTTTGGGAAAGCCATTTGGCAAATCTACACCAAGAGCATTTAAAACATATGCATCCTTAGTCCAGGAGTTGAAGATCAGCCTGGCCAACATGGTGAAACCGTGTCTCTAATAAAAATACAAAAAATTAGCTGGGCGTGGTGGCAGGCAAAGAAGTTGGGACTTAGCTGTGTCAGTAGTGACACACCCAAGACAGTAAGCCAAAAGACAGAATAAAACCAAATGCTAAATCATTTAAAAATGTATTAAAATGTTAATTTATTTGCTGGGCCTATAACCCCAGAACTTTGGGAAGCTAAGGTGGTAGGATGGATTGAGCCCAGGAGTTCAGGACCAGTCTGGACAACATAGTCAAACCTTGTTTCTACAAAAAATAAAAACACAATTAGCTGGGCATGGTGCTGTGCAAGCCTGTAGTCCCAGCTACTCAGGAGGCTGAGGTGAGACGATCGTCTGAGCCCAGGAAATTGAAGCTGCAGTGAGCCAAGATCACGCCTCTGCCCTCTAGCCTGGGCTGCAGAGTGAGACCCTATCTCAAAAAAGGAAAAGTTACTGTTTTCTGTAATAGGAAAATAAAAGGAGCATCCTAAATATCGAGCCATAGGTGAATGGCTTAGTGTGGATGGTCCTTAAATTAGTGGACTGGTCTTTGTTATAGTCTTTATGTGAAAAACGTGAAAGACTGTTTAGGACAAAATATCAAGCAGAAAGAACAGGAATATACAGTGTGACCATGTGATGATTTAACTCTGTAGAAGTTGTGGGTCTGTGATTCTTCATTGGGAGAGATGAAAGAAATGAAAAATATGCGGTTTGACGAGGTGATATCAACCTAAACAACAAACAGGCTTTAAAAGAAAAGGATGTGGCTGGGCGCGGTGGCTCACACCTGTAATCCCAGCACTCCAGGAGGCCAAGGTGGGCAGATCATGAGGTCAAGAGATTGAGACCATCCTGCCAACATGGTGAAAACCCATCTTCACTAAAGATACAAAAATTAGCTGGGCATGGTGGCACGTGCCTATAATCCCAGCTACTTGGGAGGCTGAGGCAGGAGTATTGCTTGAACTCAGATGTTGGAGGTTGCAGTGAGCCAAGATCGCACCACTGCCCTCCAGCCTTGTGACAGAACAAGACTCTGTCTCAAAAAAGAGAGAAGGATGTTTCTTTAGAATAGAGCCACATGCCACAGTATATTATGTGCATATGCAGGGAGATAGAGGAAGGCAAAGGCAGAGTCTCACTCTGTCACCCAGGCTGGAGTACAATGATGCAGTCTCAGCTCACTACAACCTCCGCCTCTTAGGTTCAAGCAATTTTCCTGCCTCAGCTTCCCGAGTAGCTGGGATTACAGGCATGAGCCACCACACCTGACTAATTTTTTTGTATTTTAGTAGAGACGTGGTTTCACCATGTTGGCCAAGTTGGTCTAGAACTCCTGACCTCAGGTGATCTACTTGCCTTGGCCTCCCGAAGTGTTGGGATTATAGGCGTGAGCCACTGCGCCCAGCCTGGCAAAGGTTTTTAAGGGAAAAATGAGGAAGATCACGTAATTGTTTTGAGATAATTATCCTTGGTTACAAAGATCAATACCAAGGTTAATGCCAGTCTGAGGTGGAACAGGCACTTGCTGGGCAGATATCCTTGCAGTTTTGTGTGTGTGTGTTAAGATTGTAATAGCCTTTGTGCAGGGCTGCAGTTTTTGCAGTCTTTAGTGACAGTTTTTGTTATCAGGCTTAAAAGTATGAGAATTCTCTCTTCATAGCTTTCCCCAGCTCTGTTTTGTCAGGGTTTAGTGGTTTGCTTAATTGTTTAACCCTAATGGTTCCATTTTTATTCAGACAACTTTCACAATGGAACAATTTAGGGCACTTGTGCACAGTTGGCTGGGCAGCTCACCCCGACACAGGCCCAGCTGCTACGCTGGCCTTGGACATGCAGCCTAAGAGTGATCTTGTCAGAGAGCAAGCGCTTATTTGTTTTGGGACTATCCAGGGTTAAATGTCAACCTGTGGCTGGGTTACGATTCCTGTTCTCTAAGTCTGTATTTCCTTATTCTTAGAATCTGAAAGCAGGTGAATTTCCCCAGCCTGATTTTCCAGATGACTACAATTTGGGAGACATTTTCCTCGGAGTGGAGTATATCTTCCAGCAGTGCAAAGAAAGTGAAGATTACAATGACATCCTGACAGTAAGTGGGGGTACTGAAAGCACATAACCTGGTTTATGGAACATGGGCCATGCAAAGGGGTCAAGATCACCACCCCACATCCACGTGTGTCCATGGCACCATAAGGGGTACTGGGGGAAGAACCTGTGAGCAGGGTGAGGAGCACCCAGCTGGGTAGGGACTGCATGCCTCTTGCCACGGTTGGAGGAGGGAGAGGACACACTGTGAAAACACGGACACTCGCGGAGAAGCCTTCTTAGCTGTTATCTCTGGAGTAGAGCAGGCTATGTTGAGCTAACCTAGACCTGCTGGGTCAGCTTCTTTTGGAGCTGCCAGTTGAAGCCACTACCACCTTCCACATCCATTTCTCCTGAGTGTAACCCCCCACAGGTTCTGCCTGCCCATTGAACAGACAAAACCAATTCACTGAGACTGTGGTATTGCAGTAGAGAAAGAGTTTAACACAGAGCTAGCCAAGCACAAAGACTGGAGTTATTCAAATCAATCTCCCAGAGAACTCAGAGGCTAGGGTTTTCATGGGTAATTTGCAGGTGGGGGCTAGGGAATGAGTGCTGCTGATGAGTTGGGGACCGACCATAGGGGTGTAAACAATTTTCTGTCTGCTGAGTCCACCTCTGGGTAGAGCCAGAGGATCAGCTGAGTCATGAGTCTCAGGTCTAGGTGGAGTCTGTAGGTTGCCAGAACTCTAAAGTCTGAAAACCATCTCAAAAGACCAATCTTAGGTTCTGCAATTATGATGTTATCTTACTGGGGAGCAATTGGGGAAGTCACAGATCTCATGAGCTCTGGCTGCATTACTCCTGAGCAGAAAGGAATTACAGCAAGGCAGGCTGGGGAAGCAAGGCCTGCGGGCTGATGCCCCTCAGAGCAGCGTTCAGGCCCCTCCCATTATCCTAATCTTGTGGCCTTTCGTTAGCTTTACAAAGGTGGTTTTGCTCCCTGAGCAAGGATAGGATTCGTTTTAGGGAGGGATGATTATATTCTTGATCTAAAATTAAACTGTAAACTAAATTCCTCCCATGGTTAGTTTGGCCTACACCCAGGACTGAGTGGGGACAGCCAGCCTGTGAAGCTGGAAGTGAGATGGAGTCAGCCATGCTAGACTTCTCTCACTGTCATCATCTTTGCAAAGGTGGTTTCAGCAGCCTAATGCAAAAAAAAAAAGAAAAGAAAGAAAAGTATTCTGAAAAGCCATGTATGAGTGAATCATACTTGTCCTCCTTTGGCTGAACAGCCATGCCCTGAATCGTCCTTGGGGCTCCAAGTGCATCTGCATGGCCTGAAGCAGAGCTTTCCAGCCAGACCCAGTGTGAAAGGGTGGGACGGCCCCCTCCGGACCAGGGTGGGACTTGCCTGCCATGCACACCCTGCCAGGGAAGAGGAAGTTTCTGAGAGTGACAGGAAATGGCCCAGCCAGAGGTTCAACCCTGGAATCTCTGTGGCCAGCAACTGTGCTGAAGGGATGTGGACATCTGCTTCCACCTTCCCCAAACCTGCTAAGATTCTGTTCCCTGGCCTACCCCTGGCATTCTTCCTCGGGCTCAGAGCCCTCTCCGTGGGGCTCCCTGTTCCTCTGAGTGAAGGCCAGCCCACCCTCCCAGGACCCCATCCACATGGCCACAGGCCAGACCAGCCCTGCTCAAGGCTGGCTCTCAGCTGCAGCCTCCATCTACCCTGCCTTGTCTCCAGGCACCTCACACCAGCCCCAGGGATATCCACCTCCCAGACCTCCCCCTTCCATCCACCCAAACCCCAGGGGAGCGGTACCCCTGTGGCCCACAGGGCTCCATAAACCCCCTTGGTGCTGTGCCTGCTCAGGGTCCACAGGCCCTCCCTCTTCTTCCTCCTTCTCCTCCCCCAGCTCTGGGCTCCATCCTGGTGCCCCTCCCCTGTGGGCTTTAATCCAGCCCTGTCTCCCTGGGGATGGAGCTACCTGTGGGTCTTCCCGCCTCACCAGCAGCTGTACCTCCCTCCAGCTCTGCCTCATACCTCTCCTCCACTCCTGTGCTGCCTGTGCACCCACCAAAGCTCCACTTTCAGTGGTCAGTAAAATCTGGGGCCACTGGAGGCTCTGCCCTCTGACTGGGGCACTGTCCCTCCTGGGGGGTTGGGCTGGGGTGTGGCTGTGCCCTTGCCTCATCCCTCCTAGGGCAGGCAGGCCGGCCCTGGCTGATGCCTCACTGCCCCCCACTACGTGGCACCCACCCCTCCTCACTTCTTCATAATTCACCCCCTTGCCCATTGCCCCTGCGGCTGGACATTTCCATCCTCTTGCCCCTCCCAGCACAGTGCTGGCCCAGACTGCAATCCACATTGACTAAAGAGTCTGAAAGGTATAACTCAATCAAGACAGTTGCAGGTGGGGAAAAGAAGAGTCTGAAAGGCCTTGATTTCCATTTTTGGTGGGAGGGAACTGAGGCTGAGTGACTAATTCCTGCTCAGGGGTCTCTCAGCAACCCTGGGGTCCTGCTGCCACATACCAAGAGCAGCCTGTGGCCTGGGGTGTCCCGAAGGGGCAGCTTCCTGTGGGGTCATTCTCCAGCTGTTTTTTTTTTTTTTTTCTCTTTTTTTTTATTTTTTTGGTTGTTGTTTGCTTTTTTATTTTTTAATTGCATTTTAGGTTTGGGGGTACACGTGAAGAACATGCAAGATTGTTGCATAGGTACACACGTGGCAGTGTGATTTGCTGCCTTCCTCCACATCACCTATATCTTGCATTTCTCCCCATGCTATCTCTCCCCAACTCCCCACCCCGCACTGTCCCTCCCTATTTCCCCCCAACTGACCCCAGTGTGTAGTGCTCCCCTCCCTGTGTCCATGTGTTTTCATTGTTCAACACCCGCCTATGAGTGAGAACATGCGGTGTTTGATCTTCTGCTCTTCTGTCAGTTTGCTGAGAATGATGGTTTCCAGGTTCATCCATGTCCCTACAAAGTACCTGAACTCATCGTTTTTGATGGCTGCATAATATTCCATGGTGTATATGTGCCACATTTTCCCTGTCCAGTCTATCGTCGATGGGCATTTGGGTTGGTTCCAGGTCTTTGCTATTGTAAACAGTGCTGCAATGAACATTCGTGTGCACGTGTCCTTATAGTAGAACGATTTGTAATCCTTTGGATATTTACCCAGTAATGGGATTGCTGGGTCAAATGGAATTTCTATTTCTAGGTCCTGGAGGAATCGCCACACTGTCTTCCACAATGGTTGAACTAATCAGCTGGTTTCTAAATCACTCTGACAGGTGACTGCCATCCATGGACTGTGTCACTTGCTGGGCTTCACACATCACACAGAGGCAGAGTGGCAGCAGGTAGGAGCCCATCCTCTGGCTACTGAGGGGGAAGGAGGTCCCTGCCAGCCCCCACCCTCCATTCTGACTGCCCGCCCCCGCACGACCAGGGCCTGAGACCTGCCCTTTGTAAAAATGGCTTATGGATGTTTGCTTTCAACATCAGGCTCCCCAAATACATTTAGCTGAATGTGTTCACTATGGGGTCTGAGCGCAGAGGCCGAGAGCCACAGTTTACTGACACTATCAAGTGGCGCTCCGTCAAAAGGGCCCCATCAGCTAGAGACAGGGCCAGACCCAGGGCGGGCTTCCGGAGCTCCCAGCGAAGTGAGGTGGATGTTGCTTCCCTCCAGGCCCATGTACTCTGTCTACAGAGGCAGAGGCCCACGTGGGCTCAGGTCCACATTGTGTTTAACACAAGCACAGTCCTGTGTTAGTGAGCAAACTGCCCGTTTCTCTGAAAGTCATGAAAAACCTTTCTCATTAAAAAGAAAAAATTGTCCAGGTGTGGTGGCTCACACCTGTAATTCCAGCACTACGGGAGGCCGAGGCAGGCGGACCACAAGGTCAGAAGTTCGAGACCAGCCTGGCCAATTGGTGAAACCCCATCTCTACTAAAAATACAAAAATTAGCTGGGTTTGGTGGCGTGCGCCTGTAATCCCAGCTACTCTGGAGGCTCAGGCAGGAGAATCCCTTGAACCCGGGAGGTGAAGGTTGCAGTGAGCAGAGATCACACCATTGCTCTCCAGCCTGGGCAACAAAGGAGAGTCCATCTCAAAAAGAAAAAGTCGGGCGGGCAGAGTGGCCCACACCTGTAATCCCAACACTTTGGGAGGCTGAGGCAGGCAGATCACTTGAGGTCAGGAGTTTGGGATCAGCTTGGCCAACATGGTGAAACCCCGTCTATACTGAAAATACACAAATGAGCTGGGCCTGGTAGGGTGAGCGTGTGATCCCAGCTACTCTGGAGGCTGAAGCAGGAGAATCTCTTGAACCCAGGAAGCAGAGGTTGCACCACTGCACTCCCGCCTGGGTGACAAAGGAAGACCACGAGGCCTTGTCTCAAAAAAAGAAAAGTCCTTGATGTCTTTCTTAGGCATTTCCTGGCTGCTTCTTGCTGGGTCCACCTGGTCCCACTTCTC